TGAATTAAAACTTAAAACTTAAAAAAATAATCTAGCTTACATTTACTATAATTTGTTTGCCTCTTTTTTTTTTCGCAGGTTTCTTGCTTCAACAAAGACCTCAGAATATCTCAAATTCCTATGCTAGAGATCTTCTGGAAGGAATCCATTGTTTTGATCCTGTAGAGAAACTTGATGTACCTTTGCACAATGGTGACAGATCATATGGGAGAGAGTCTTATGCACTTCAAGAGAGCAAACAAGGGTTGATGGAGAAAGTTTTGCCTTGTTTGGAGGATGTTCACAAGGAAACATGTTCAGGAAAAGAGACAGGTATTAGCTCAGACACATCAACAACTTCACTGACATTGCTTGTCAGTAGTCAAAGCCATGAGAGTGCAGCAGAGAAGTCAAATTGTGAAGAGGGTTTAGTAGCAGATTATCATCGTGGTTTAGAAACCAAGGATGATTTGCTACCAAATGAAATTCCTCAAGAGACCTGCAGTGTTAAAAGGGTATGTTCATGCTTCAACAAAGAGGAGTCCAGGGAGGACCATGGAATAGAATTTAATCAGAGTCCTGGACCTTCATTTACTACAGTTGGAAGGGAGAATGACAAAGGGACTTTTGCCTTTAAAAGCCTTATTTGTGAATTGCAAGATGAAGTTGCCTTCTACCAGGATCAATGTTGTGAACTAAGAGAAGAATTAGTAAACCTGAAAAAGAAGTGGAAGTTCTGTGAAGATGAGAAACAAGATCTTCAAGCTGAAGTAGGAAGACAGTTGTTTCTAGAAAGCAAAGAAAGGCGATGCAGCAAGATTTATCAGCCCCCCAGTGGACATGCTGATGGGACCAGTATGCCTGGTAGAGTAAGAGGTGCATCCCACGACCTCTCAGTTACTGGGGCTAAACTGCTTGGTGGTGCAGGTCCTTTAAACAAATCAGGTAAGGACTTCTTTCAGTTTAAACTTTCAGCCACAAGGAATGTACATCTATCTAACCTAAGTAGATACTGTGGCTATTATGCTCCTGATAGGATTCACATTTACTATATGTTACTTCGATCTACTACACACAGTGCTTTATGAACACCTTTGTAAATAGGTTGATATTTAAGCTTCATTTATTGTAGTGACTTGCTTTTTAATTCATGATATGTGTGTAGATTTCTATGTAATTGTAGTTTTTCCAAACTCATTGTAATATAAGATATGTAGTTTTATCTTATGATGGAATAAAGACTTTATTATATTACAAATTTGCCCAATTGATGTACATTACCTAACATGTCATCTAGATGATCACCAGAAAGTGTGCTGGATTGGTAGAGATCATGGTTTTCTATCTTCATCTTTCATTAATGCACCTCAAAAGGCACACGTTGCAGGAGTGAATAGTAACACAGTCTGGAACCTTGTTCTATAGCCACTTAATCCGATGGTCAAGTTTTTACTAAAACTTGGTGCTGAACAAGTACCTTTATTTTGGAATTCCACTATGGTAAAAAGGCTCTTAAAATTTTACTTTTCTTCTGTTAAGTATACATGCATGCATTTTACAGGGGAAGAATTTGGGCTGAAAGTAGCATGTGGTGCCGGAGATGAAAGGGATAGGGAAGGCTCATATGAATCCTCTCTTCATGATGGTGCAGAAGAACAGTTCAATTTTAATCATCACTTTAATGGCACTGTAGATGGTGCTGTTAATTTACCAGATAGAGTCCAAGATAGTACAATGCCAGTAGACATTACTGGTGTGAATCAAGTTTCTCTTCCTTGTGGAGACACAACTCAGAGGCAAAATATTTCAGGTGCAGGGATCACTGCTCCTAAGGATACAGCAACAGATCAGTCTGATTGTCTTGTGGGCAATCAGTCAAGTACATGGGAGCATTTAGGGGCCAGACCAAGAGACAGACTAATTCCTACAGCAAGAAGATCCCCAGAACCTTCTTCATCTCATTCCTCATTTTCAAATCTGGCTCCCGGACAAGTTGCTGGACCTGTGGCTCATGGAGTAGCCAATGTATTCATAGCAAGACATTCAGAGGACAAACATCTTCATGAAAGTTTGTATTACACTAATGCCCAGATGTTGACTGAGAATTCTTCCTCGCATAGAGCTTCTCTTGGAGACAGCATGATAAACTTGATGGACTCAAACCGATCCAAACCATATTGTGGTCATGTTGCTTTCAGGCCAGATCCAGTTTCTCAAATGCATTCCTCATTGTCCCCTCAGACTAGTGGTGCATACAAGATAAGAAGACCATCCATGTGTGAGGAGGTAAAAGACTGTTTGTTGTTGAGTGCATTTGTGTGTTTTTAATGTAGTGGAAGTTAAAATTTATATTTGACCAAGTGATTGTTGGGGTGACAGTAGTCCTGAGAAAGACTAGTTATCATCGGTAGTTATAACTGATGTTTCAACAATTTCATGCAATGAACCATCAGAGTTGAGTGAGGAGTTGCCTGTATGCAGACACCTTCTATTTCCTTTGTTGCACATGGAAAAGGGATGTCTGCATAATGTCATTGCTTATCGTGTTTCAGCTTCCTGCTGGCAGGGTATTCACTTTTGCATAAATCATGAAATAATATCTGCTGAGCAAAGTCTACTAGTGTGAAAAAATCAACAAACTTTCAGGCTGCTGTGAAGCATGTTTGTGAACTGTTTAATGTCTTGTGGCTTTATCCTTAAGAGGAAGAGTGCTTAAAGGCTATATGTGATGGGGAAAATGTACATTTTATGCAAGTCTTCTGGCTGGATATGGGAAATCTGATTTTTAATTCAGTTCCAGTCATCAAGCCACAGATGGCCTATGAATCCTTTAAAAGAATTGTCTTCTCAGGAGAAAGTCAGACCGTTCTGCAATTAAATCATGTACCTGAGTGTACAGCCTTTTTCTCGATAGAAAGCCTATCCTTATAGGCCTGTCAAGTTCTTGTAAATTGGTGCAAAGTCCACTGCATGCCACTTTTTCAGTTTTCTCAGACGCTGTTTACAAATATGATGTGATGTATCATGCACAGGAAATTGTAAAGAAATAATTTCCTCATTCACATTAAATTTTCTGTGACCTCACACAAGATTTTGATCTGCTTTTGATCCACGAAAAACAAAGCACACAACTGCACGTTGCTATTTGTTTTGGCTGGAAAACCCTGCTTACATAAAATCACCGCATATATTATCCAAACAGATTGGATAATAACCAGTCAGCATTTAGTCAAACGAATGACATTGTGTGTCAGCCTGTCACAACCTGTTCCCAGATCTTGGGAACCCAGCAGGGCATTGGAACACAATTGGCCATGGCATTATGCAAATGTCCCTTTTCCACATTCAACAAATTAAAGGAAATACTAGGAAACATGTGCATGCAAGCAAAGTGAGGAGTTGTTTGATGAGTGTGATGAGTGTTTTAAGTGGGGTTTTGGAACTAGAGTGTGTACAGAAAGTATGCCTTTTTGTTTACTTTTTGTATAGTACCAGTCTTTCCTTTGTGTGTATTGTAATGATATTGTGAACAGCTTGAATGAGGTAGTGGCTGTAGCTGAAGCCAAAGTAAGACCCTTTTCAATCTTGAAGACAAAGAAATTTCCAAATCATGTATAGTTTATAAATAAAAGGAGACTGTTTTAGGGGCATCAGTTTCATTTGGGAGACCATGAGAAATGTGCAGGTGCAAATTTATGAATACCTAAACACATCTAATGACTCTGAACTTGCCCACCACCATATGATAAAGATATCTATCCAAGGCACAACAAATTTAGCAAACCATATACTAATTCAGTTAACTTTCAAATCTGTTTATGCCTATTTACTTTAACCACACATCAGTTAGGACCTAGGACCCTATTTTGTCAGTTGCACAGTGCTGCAAGGCCGTTGTGTTCCTTTTTTGTTAAAAAAAAGTATATATAACATTTTTGTTAAAAATGTAAAATGTGTACATCTTAGTGTCACAGTAAACCTAAGCCCATAGTGAAAACAAGAGAAAATATATTACATGAAAATGGCACATATACCCCCCTGGTATTTTATGTTACTGTATTTGATGTGTGCATAGTGACTCTGAGGCATACTGGAATGAACATAATGTATACCTATTGCATAAATTGAGGTGTGATATTTAAAAGGGTTAGCATGTTGGTGATACAAGATTTAGCAAATAAAGGTAAATGTATGAGCAGACAATAAGAAATGAGGGAACAGACCTCAATCTGGATCTACAGTCATATGTAATCAGGGATGATGCTTTTTGCAGGAAAAACATTTCAGGTGGATTTAGGGAGGTTTGGGTCATTAAATTAGTGTTTTCTTTACAGGAGAGGGAAATTAGAGCAGAAAGAGGGTTGCAAACCACCACTTGGATACTGCAGTCATTAGAGTCCCCTCACAACAGCTATCAGGCTTCAGAAGAAGGGATTGAAGCAGCAGAGGCAAGGATTCAAGCCAGGTGGCCATGGTTTGGAAGATGGTTTTGTACATGTGCTGATGGAATGGTGAGCAACTAATTTTCTTTCTTTTGTTGGAAGAGTTAATCATCAAATGACAAGGTTCTATCATTAATTTTGGTAACAATGGTCAAAAGTTGCACAGAAAGCTGTTTGAGACTTGTTAAGTCATGAGCACCAGAAATATTCCTGTAACCTAACTGAGACAAGAAGAACAAACCAATCAGGCATGATCAGGGAAACTCTCTCCTGTGGCCTGGAATGCTAGTTTTGTGTGGTTTTATGGTTTGTTTGCATATATCTCATTTTCTTTTTGTAGCTACCTGACATTCCAATTTCCTTTGGTCACCAGTCTCCGTTATCATAACAGATCACAATACAAAGGCCTTTAACATATTTCCAGTTGTTAAGGGTTCTCCAAAATTGTAAAAAAGGGCAAGATATTGATGTTTATAGTCTGTATTGGATCTTATCAATAGGCTGTGCTAGAGAATATTATGAAGAAACTTTGTTGTATGATGTTTTTGACAAGTAATTTGTTCATATGAATAAGTTGATCTTTTTATGAAAAGAGCATAAAGCAAAATGTTAGGCAAAATGTTTTTGAAAATCAGTAGCATAGGGATTAAAAATAAAATGTTTGAATGCTTATTTTAAACAAAAGGTCACAAGATAAGGGGATATTTTTCTTTTTAATTGTTATATTGACTGTAGTTTTTGTGTTGATAGCATAATAACCAAGATGTGGATGTAATTTGTACAGATTGTATCATGTACAAATACTGGTAAGTATGGATACCAAACACATTAGATTCTTCAAATATCTTTGCTCCTCTGTACTTGTGAATTTGATACTGTTCAGTAGCTAAAAGAAGCATGGAAACAGAAAGAAATTGATCTGTAATAAATCAGCTAGCACACTAGACCTCATTTGAAGGCACCTCCTAGTTTGAGCCTCACCTAGGTCAGTAAATTATGTTCTAGGAATAGGTAATTATAGTCATGCAGTGCCTTTCTCCAGAAATTTGCAGAATTTTAAATGAATACTGGTGAACTCACTAAAACCTGAAAAAAAACCTGCTGTAACCAGTGATAGACTAGCACCCCATCTAGGGGGAGAAACTACTCCAAACTTACTTCTTGCAAATGTGACAACTAACCTCCCGGTTAGCTCAATTGGTTAGAGCACTGGATTGTTGTGTGGGAAGTCGAGGTCGATGGTTCGAGCCCCGCCGGGCCCAACACTCAAGGTCTTAAAATAACTGAGGAGAATGCACTACCTTTCTATAATATCAAGAAATGGATAGACATTCTAGTCTTCTCAGATAAGGACGAATAAACCGTAGGTCCCTTCTCCTGCATCTATTAATTAGTTAATTCGGTTAGCATCTAGATGATCACCAGAAAGTGTGCTGGATTGGTAGAGATCAT